AAAAAAAAAAAAAAAAAAAGCGAGAATAAATCGGGATATGTTTCTGTTGGGAAATATATCTGGTGGAATCACAGGAGATTACATCTTCTGATCGGCGGGGATTTATCCTGGTTCATATGGTTTTAATCTGCTTTCGCCTCGACCCTTCAATGAGCCTAGGGTGGGGGGAGGATACCCGGTGTGTTCCTTAGATCCGTGGGCAAACCCWCGCTCTGCGCGGTGTCTGCGGACCCACCTCAGCCCCCTCCCCTCCGGATCGCCCTTCTCCCGCGACCGGCGCTGGGAAAGACTAAATCCGAGCCCTCCGCGAAGCTGATCCCGGCTCCCGGCCGGACCCCCGCGGCCGCTCCGCCCGCACGGCCGCCGCAACAGGTCCGGCGGCGGGGTGACCCCTGCCCGCAGGAGWGACCGGCCGAGCAGCCCACCGCTGCCGGACCGGACGGGCTGCGGAGCTTCCCGGAAAATCTCCTTTTTTTTGTTGAGAAAAACTAATAGCACCACCATTCCGCCGTATTTCCCACCTCCAGTGATTTAGTGGAGGGAGGGGCAGGGGCAGAGAGCACGAGGAGGGGTGGCAGTGCAGAGGGGGAGCCGGGCGGCTAATAAATCTTATTAAAGATCTATTTTTTTTTCATATACTGATTGGCTTGCATTCCGGCGCAGCGCGGCTCCGCACGGTATTTAGCACATGCAGAAAGTTGGAGCTGATCTTAAATGGCTCGGAGGTGACTGCAATCCAGGAGCCGGCGCACTTGAGCCTCTGAGCGCTGGGGAGGGCCAGGGAAGCGCGGAGCCCTCCCGCTGGTTGGGCCCGGCCGCGGCAGCCCAGCGGGGTCCTGCCAGTCCTTCTACTGACAACACCCCGCGAAGGAGGAGCCTCGCCGGGCCGTGCTGAAGGCGTCAGGAGCTGCAATTTCCAACTTAGCATCTTGGCAGGACCCTTCGGAAAGCGAGAGCGAGGAGGAAGGGGGAAAAAAAAAGCCCCCCAGTGCAAGGGGGAGAGAGAGAGAAAGAGAGGAGGGGGGGAGGGAAAGAGGGGAAAGCAAGCGGGGGAGAAAAAGGAGGAAGCGGTGCCCGGCTGCAGGCGAAAGCGGAGCAGCAGCCCCGGCGCAGAGCAAGGTGCCGCCGCTGCCCAGCTGGCGAGGGCGGAGAGGCGCCCGCGAAGCCCCGGCCGCAGCCGCCCCAAGCCGGCAGCGCGGCGGCTCCCTCCCGGCGCCTTGGGCTCCCGGGTATATGTGTGCGCCTGGCCATGTCGTATCCTCAGGGTTACTTGTATCAGCCGTCAGCGTCCTTGGCTCTCTACTCCTGCCCAGCGTACAGCACCAGCGTGATCTCCGGACCCAGGACCGATGAACTTGGGAGATCTTCTTCGGGCTCCGCTTTTTCCCCTTATGCCGGATCTACCGCCTTTACCGCCCCTTCCCCGGGTTACAACTCCCACCTCCAGTACGGCACCGACCCGGCCGCCGCCGCCGCCGCCGCCTTCACTTCCTACGTGGTAAGAGCAGCCGCGGGCAGCCGGCACCGCGCCGGGCACGACGGCATCCCGCGGGCGCCTGCCCCCCCCTCCCCGGCCTGCTTTTTGTTCCCATTTTATTTTTTGAGATCTCGGGGACAAAAGGGAGCGCGGCTCCCCGCCTCGCCGCCCAACTTTCCCGCATCGCCGCCGTGCGCTGCCGCACACTGTTGCTGGCGGCAGCGGCGGGCAGGGCCGGGCACGGGGGGAGCCGCCGGCACGGCCCCGGCAAGCGGGACCGGGGCAGGCGGGGACCGGTTTCATTCCCTACTAAAAAAAAAAAAATTAAAAAATATATATACGTATAAAAAAACACCTATCGTAGTTCTGCAACAATTAGCTTGTAATTGAAAAGGGAATGAATCCAGGACGGGTCGGCAATGGGAGAAATCCGAGCGATAAATCCAGGGAACTTTCCCTTGCACGAAGATAATTAGGCTTAAATATTGCACAGCTCTAATCCCATGGCCGCGAGCTGCTCCGCGGGGCTGCGCGGGGAGGGAAAGGGAAGGTAGAGCACTGCGCCGCCGTGCGCGCCCGCGGGGCACCGCGGGGCCGGTCCGGGTGCGGGACATCCACACCGCAGAGCTGCGGCCACAGCCAGCGCCCCGCAGCTCTCCCAARAAAACGGGGAGTTCTGCTCAGCTTCCCCTCTCTGTTTAGGGCAGAGTTTCACAGTTCCTTCTTTCCTTATTATTTGCTCTTACTTTTCTCTTGCCTTTTTATTTCCCCCCTCCTTTCCCCCCCCCTTTTTTTTGTTTCTCTTATATCTTCTCTTCTTTTCTTCTCTTTTCTCTTCTTCCCTTTATTTTTTCCCCCTCCCATCCCTGGGCAGGGGAGAGCGGCCCAGCCCGTCCGGCCGCCTGGGCCCGGCAGGTTGCCTGCCGCGATCGCAGGGCGGGGGGGAAGGCTCYGGTGCCCCTGCCGCTGTCCACCCCCACGCCACGCTGCCCACTTGCTTTTCTGCCCCTGCATTTGSGGGAGAGCCGCTGGATTGCTGAAGGCAGCTGGTGGTCTCATGGGGCCGGAGACTACTGACCCCGGCGAGCCCCCAGGCCCTTTYYCCCGGGCAAGAGCCAGGGCAGAAGMCGGGCAGGGCCCGGTGCCGGGGCAGAGGCGGCGGGGAGCGGGCAGGGATCGCGGGCAGGCCCCGGCGCTGCCTTTGCCGTGTCATTGCCGCCCCGCGGCCGCCTGACCTCGCCCCGCCGGGCCGCTCTCCCCTCTCTCCCCAGGGCTCGCCCTACGACCACACGCCGGGTATGGCCGGTTCCCTGGGGTACCACCCGTACGCGGCACCGCTCGGCTCCTACCCCTACGGGGACCCCGCGTACCGCAAGAACGCGACACGGGACGCCACGGCCACCCTCAAGGCCTGGCTCAACGAGCACCGGAAAAATCCCTACCCCACCAAGGGMGAGAAGATCATGCTGGCCATCATCACCAAAATGACCCTCACCCAGGTCTCCACCTGGTTTGCCAATGCGAGGCGGCGGCTCAAGAAGGAGAACAAAATGACCTGGACACCACGGAACCGCAGCGAGGACGAGGAGGAAGAGGAGAACATCGACCTAGAGAAAAACGACGAGGACGAGCCCCAGAAACTGGAGGAGAAGGGAGACCCCGGGACGCCGGACACAGGTAGGACAGCGGGCTCGGCCGGGTCATGCGGCCGCACCCTCGGGGCTGCCCCCGGCCCGGTGCGGTGGTGGCGGGGCGGCGTGTTCCCCTGAGCGGGCAGCGGTGCGGGGGGAGCCGGCGGGCAGCGGTGCGGGCCTGGCCATGGCGGGGACCGAAGGGTGGGCGGCGAAGTGGGTGGGCGGGTTTGGGGGCGCAGGGCGAGCCCGAGAGCTGCCCCCCCACCCCTGTCCTTTCCCCCCCTTCCAGGAGCGGCGGATCCCAAGGCAGCACCGGGCTGCGAGCGCCTCCAGGAGTCCCCCGGCCCCCGGGAGGCCGAGAGCGGCCTCAGCGACTCGGATTGCAAAGAGCTTGCGGAGGAGCGGCTCGACGGGCCGCCCGTCCCCCACAAGGCGCCCGGCGCTTCCCCGCTGGGACCGTGCCCGGCGGGCCGCGGGCCGCCGCCGGCGGGCGGCGAGGAACCCCCGCCGTACCGCCCGCCCTCCGCCGCCGCCGGGCCGCCGCACGCCGCCGACCTGCACCCGCTGCTGCCCGCGGCCACCGGCGCCTCCGTCATCCACTCGCCGCAGCAGGCGGCCCTCGCCAAGCCCAAGCTCTGGTCGCTGGCCGAGATCGCCACCTCGGCGGACAAGGCTAAGGAGGCCGGCGGCGAGGCGGCACCCCCCGGCCCCGCCGTGCTGGGCGGCGGCGGCCCGTCCCGCTCTCCGCCGCGGCCGCGCTCGCCGGCCGCGCAGTGYCCCTTCCCCAACGGGGCGGTCCTGCCCCGGCCGCTCTACTACACGGCGCCCTTCTACCCCGGCTACACGAACTACGGCTCCTTCGGGGCCCTGCACGGGCACCCCGCCGGCGGCCCTGCCGCAGCCGCCCCCGGCGCCCACTTCAATGGATTAAATCAGACTGTCCTCAGCAGAGCCGAGACCCTGGCTAAAGACACTAAAATGATCAGGAGCCAGTCCCAAGTAGACCTTTGCAAAGACTCACCTTACGAACTGAAGAAAGGTATGTCCAACATTTAATATTGGCTTCTCCTCCCTAACCCCTCCTGGGACTGTGGTTTTGTTCTTTTCTTTATTTTTTTCCCCTTTTTTAATTTATTTGAGAGAAATAATAAATTGCTTTGGCAGTTATTTTTCCACTACCAAAAGAAAAACAAAACAAACTGAAAAAGACCAGCTCCCCCTCCCTCCCAGCACCCTCTTCAAAAGTTTATAGAGTCTATTTGAAATGGCTGGGTGGAAACCGCCCAGAAATGTCTTAAGCAAGTGAAAAGCAAACGAGTGACACGCTCYCTCTCACACACACAAAGAAGAAAGATTTGTATTAAATCTTATTCTGTATATTTAATGTAGCTTTTTTGTATTTAAATTGATAATACAGTATCTTTGAAGTAAATTATGAAATCAAGACAACTGTACAGGCATTAATGTTGTTTTCGTAATATAAATATATACATTTCTGTGTCTTTTTTCGAATTGTTTCATAGTTTTAAAATATATATATACAAGTTTAATTTAATTTTTTATGCCTATTGTTTTTTTTTTCCTTGGGTGTGAGTTGAACTATAATGAAAAAACAAGACAAAAAAAAAAGGAAATAGGTTATATATAATAGATTAAAAAAAAACCAAACAACCCTGCAGACGCCTTTGTAAAATGCAAATATTTAATTAAAAGAGATTTTTAACAGAATCTAAACCACTCTCTTTTTGCAACGGGCAGATACGTGCATAGCTGCGGAAAAGTAAAAGCACGTCTTAAATGAGACATTGGGCTCTATTTAGGACCTCACAGTAGTACCTGAAGCCCTTTTGGAAGTGACAGGCAATTTCTAAAAGGTCGGGGGCTCCGGAGGCGAGAGTCGCCCGCGGGGCCAGGAGAGGCGAGCGGCGGCAGCAGAGGGACGGGGCCGGTGCGGGAGGGACGCTGTTCCCGGAGGTGAAGGCTTAAATCAGGCCATGCACAAAAGCACTTGTTAGAAACACCAAATCGAAGCGCAGTCCCATCTTTTAACCTAATTACTTCCAATCAGTGTCGTGTTTTATGCAAAGCAATCAGCTGGTGAACTTTGCTAATGAGTTCGATTTTCTGCCAGATTTAGCCCGCGTCGCTGCAGCAGCGGTGCTGCGGCGGCAGCCGRGGCCGCCGACTGCACGGGCAAAGGCGCTCGGTGCGGCGGGGGCGGCCCGGCCCCTTTCCTTTCCCCCGCTGCCCGAGCCCGGCGCGCTGCTCCGCTGCCCCCGGCCCGCGGGATGAGGCGGTGCAGGCGGGGCCCGCGGGCGCGCAGCCCCGCGCAGGGCCGGCCGCGGGCGCGGTGCTCCCGGCGCTGGCAGGTAGGTGTCACACTCGGCCCGGCTTTGGCTCCGCCGCCCGCTCGGCCGTGCGGGAGCCCCGCGGGGCCGCGMTCCGCTCCGCACTGTGCCCGCAGCGCAGCGCTGATGGTGGGACAGGGGCCGCGCCGCCGGGGCAATCCCAGCCACCAGACGTCCCTTGGGTGCGGGGACAGAGAGCGCCCTGAGCCCCCTCCGCACCGTTCTGTCGCTCCACAGCCCAAGGCGGGGGGAAGCGGGTTCCCGAGCGGATTAGGGGCTCCCCAGCGCGAAACCTCCGACCAAAAGTCAGTCCCCATCGGTGCGGCTGCCCGAGCAGTCCGGGTCCCCTGCAAAGAAATAAGGGCGAGGACTGTTACAGCACCCAGCTTCGGGAACGGGTCTCTCCTTGTTCTGTGTGGATTTTGTGGGTGTCAACTGTGTGCTGACATCCACACTGCTGATGTGATGGGAGTGTTACTGGGACCGCTGGGGCTGGTGTCAAGACACCCCTCTGTTTGCTCGTTTCTTTTTTTTTCTTTACGAGCCAGATAATTATTTTGTAATCTCTTCAACTTTGTCAGAGCCATTTATTAGCTGTAACAGGTTTATTCATGCATATTTACATTTTACGGGATTTTAAATAATAGTTTGTATTTTGAGTTTTAAAGATGCAATCCATGTTCGTTTGATTATACAATTTTTTTGTAGATAATCTGGTTTAAAATCAAAATTGTTTCAACTGAATGTGCAAAKAATCAAATATTCCTGGGACAATAATATGTTATTTTGTCATTTTATTAATGATAAATGATTTTTTAAAAAACGCTCCAATTCCTCCGTTGGATATTTCATTTCCAGTCGGTGAGACGCGCAGGAAAGTGTGTTTTTCGCGCAGCAGTGAGCTTTACTGGAATCACCTGCCTTGTTTAAAACGGGATAAAGTTCTCACGGCGAARGGCAGGGTAGAGCTGGCCGGGGTAGAAGCAAGCCCGATGTACGGGGCTGGAGGCAAAGCGCCGCGGGCCGCCTCCCGCCCGGGTTCTCCCGTCCCCGTCCCCYCGGCAGAGATCGCCTCCGGCTGAACTCAGGGGAAACTCCCAAGCGCCCTTTGCCAGAGGGAGCGACAGAGCCCCTCAGGACCCCGCTCCCGAGACAACAGGTCCCGCAGAGGAACGACTACCTCAAAATAAATAGCTTTTAATTATTCATCTAGCTATGGATTTTTTTTTTTTTTTTAATTGTCGTGCTACCTTTCCCCACTGATCTTCCGATCTCTGAAAAAGCTATTTTGCAAAGCAGCTTAGGAGTCTCGCTCGTTCAAAAGCCCTATTCCTTATACTCAGGGCTATTCTGAATAGGTCTATTAGCGATCTCRATACGGTTTTCGTTTGATGTATAAATTCCTAAGGGAATTAACCGTTTCCTTTAGGTTGCAGCCTGTCGCCTATTTTAAACCATAACTATTATTGTAGCCCAAACGATTTCATACAACAATTTTATTCATCACCCTTATCCCCTGCCACAGGAGATATACTGTATAGCCATTCTTTAACATAAGCACGAATTTACCAGTTTCTTTTCCGCAACAGAGCAGGGGGGAGGGGGCAGCGTTCGCCTTTTTTGCCTCTGGCATGTTAATTTGTTGTTAAAAAAAAAAAAAAAAAAAAAAAAAAAAAAAAAAAAAAAAACAAAAAAAAGAAAAAAAAAAAAAAAAAAATAACAAAAAAAAAAAAAAAAACCAAAAAAAAAAAAAAAAAAAAAAAGGAGTGAGGATCTCTTAAAATAAAAATAACGCCTGCTGCCAGTTAGAGCTGCCGTAGGTTACTCGGGAGCAGTCCTCGGAGCGGCCGGGAGCGACTCTCCCGCTGGGAGTGGAGCCCTCCCGGTGCGCGGGAAGGGCCGCGGGCCGCCCCGCGGAGGTTTGGGGCAGGAGGGCTTCGCTGCTGCTGCGAAGCGCTTTTTGGGAAGGTGAGGGGGAAGAGCGGGGCTGGCGGTGGAGCAGACTGGGCTCTCATCAGTGCTYCTGGCAGCAGGTGCCTGCCCGGGGCGCAGGTGGGAACGGCCCAGCCTCCGCGGGGCGCAGCTCCGTTCCCGGAGGAAACCGCTCTCTCCTTTCCGTGCCCACTCCCTCCCCTTTCCGCCCCAGACCCCATGGCACGGCCCTTGATGGGGCGGGGGGGGACGCGACCCCCTATTCCGCCCGCCTCGACGGCGCGGGTCGAGCGGCGCAGGTGGCAGCGGGGTGAGGCACAGGGGCTGCCCTCTCCCGCAGGTCACAGTCCAACTTTCCCCGCAAAAAAAAAAAAAAAAAAAAA